TGAGTTCGAGACCAGCCTGAGCTACATAGTGAGTTCCAGGTCAGTTTCAACTACATAGTGAGACCCTGTCTCAAAAGATCAAAAAGAAAAAAAGTATATATATTACATATAATGTATATATATAAAACCATATAAATATATATAGTTTGAATACTACTTATTCTAAATACTTGAGACCAGAAGTGTTTTAGATGTCACATTTTAGAATATCTGTAATGAGATATCTTGGGGAGGGACCCAAATCTGGACATAAAATCCAATTTTATACATATGTATAGATAGATACTACTATGGAATGAAAATTCCTATGTTGAAACACTAATCCCTAGTATGGCTATATTTGAAGGTGAGCCCTCTGAGGAAGTAATTAAAGGTTAAATGAGGCCAAAGGTGGGGTCTCAATCTGACAGGATTAGCGTCCTTTTAAGAGACCCCACGGCTGGATGAGATACCAAGTATGTATACAAGCCCAGCAGTCTGGGAGGCTGAGACGAGAGAACAGCAAGTTTGAGCCCAGCCTGGGCAACTTAGTGACTTAGCAAGACCTTCTCTCAAAATAAAAACTTTAAAAGGGCCAGGGATGTCTATCTGTACAAGGGTTCAGTCCCCAGTGAAACACACACACACACACGCACACACACACAGAATGAGCTTGCTCTCCTTCCTTAACCTTCCTCACTTGTGTGCCTATGAAGAAGAGGCTATGGGGCCGCGCTGGGAGAAGGGAACATTCTATAAGCCCAGAAGACAGCTCAACCAGATGCCAACCCTACTGGGCCCTTCATCTAGGACTCCTAGCACCTAGAACTGTGCCAAAGTACATTGGTGTCGTTTCAGCCACTCCGCTATGGCAGTACATGGTATCTTGGTAAGGTTTACAGTCACGTATATGGCAATATCTATAGTTTCTTCTATATACAGCTGTATACAGACTTTTAAATTTGATACGATCCCACTGGTTGTTTCTCTCTGGACAGTGGGGTTACGGATGACTTTTTTTTTTTTTTTTTTTTTTTTGGTGCCGGGGATTGAACTCAGGCCCTTGCATTTGTGAGGCAGGCACCAGAACCACTGAGCTAAATCCCCAGCCCATGGGTGACTTTTTAATGTGTGTGTACATTTTGCCTGAATGTATCATCTATACTTTCTACAACAGCCTTGTCATACTTTGTATTACTACTGTTTACATTACTTAGCATTGCCGGAAGATATCAGCACAGAACATCCTCAGTCTTCAAGGCTGGGGTGAGGCAAAATGGCCATGTCAAAAAGGGCAGAAGCTCAGAGGTGGGGACTGACCATGCCCTAAGCAGGTTGCTAGGAGCTTGCTGAGCCTCCCCTTGCAGTCAAAAGATGTTTCTCCTGTATTTTAGTCCATTTTTCTTTGCTGTAACAGAATACTTGGCACTGGGAAGTTCATAAAGAAAAGTTTATTTTGCTCAGTGGTTGAGAAGGGCTGGAAAGCCCCAGGTTGGGTAGGCACGATGAGTGCCTCATGCTGTCATAACTGTGTGGACCGGAGGAGAAGGACAGGCAGTGGTGCACAGGAGAGGTGAGGAAGTGGAGGAAACAGAACTGGCCTTCTAACAAAACACTGCCTAGGTAACTAATCCGGGCCCATATGAGAACTAAAAGTGTTCATCCCCGCCTCTCAAAGACATAATTATCTCTTCTGTTTGCTTTGCTGAGACCAGGGAATGAACCCAGAGCCTTTGTTTACTTGAGTTTTTTATTAGTACCTGTTTGCACTGTATGACAATTTCATTCCTTGTGTGCAGTTGGTACATGTACAACACACATCTCGATTCTTTTTTCATACCCTTTTCCTCTCCTCCCTCTCCCCTCCCTCCATCACTGGATCACCTTTGCATTTGAACAAAGTTCTATCTCCATACTTCCTATTATCTATCTTTTATTTGGCCCTGCATTTATATTTTGGATTTCTCATATAAGAGGAAACAGTGCAGTAAATAAGCTTATGTGACTGGTTTATTTCCTTCAACATCATGGTCTCAAGGTGCATCCATTTTCCTACAAATCACTCAAGTTTATCCTTCCTTATGGCAGAGTCGTGCTCCACTGTATATAGATAACACATAAACATATAAACATTTCCAAAATTTAGCTATTATGAATCGTGCTACTATAAACATGGATATTCATATATCACTGTAATAGGATGTCTAACTCTTTTGGGAAGATATCTAGAAAGGGAAGCTCTGGGTCAAAAGGAATTTTCAGTTTTTTAAGGAATCTCTATACTTATTTCCGTAGTGGTTGCACCAGCTTACATTCCTGCCAACAGTGTAAAAGAGTTCCTTTTGCTCTGCAGCCTTGACAGTATTTGTGATTATTTGATTTCTTGATGATAGTCATTCTTTCTGGAGTGAGACAGGATCACAGTGTTTTTTTTTGGGGGGGTACCAGAGATCGAACTCAGGACCTTGAGCTTGTGTGGCACCACTGAGCTAAATCCCTGACTCCTGCGGTGTTGTTCTTTTGTTTGTTTGCTTGTTTTTTTGAGACAGGGTATCACTATGTAGTTCAGACTGCTCTGGAACTCACTGTGTAGCCCAGGCTGGTCTCAAACTTGCAGCGATCCTCCTGCCTCAGCCTCCCGAGTGCTGGGATTACAGGCACGCGCCACCATGCCAGGCTCCTGCAGTGTTGTTTTAATTTGGATCTCTGATGGCCAGCAATGCTGAACATTTTTTCATGAATTTATTGGCCAATTGTACTTCTTTTCTGAGAAATATCTATTCAATTCAGTCTTTTGATTGGGTCTTTTATTTTGGAGGTGTCTTTTTTTTTTTTTTTTGCATTCTTTGCATAGTCTCAATAGTAGTCCTCTGAGGAATAGCTGGCAAAAAGTATTTTCTCATTCTGTAGGTTGTCTCTTCACTCTGTTGTTTCCTTTGCTGGTAAAAGCTTTTCAATTTGATATGATCACATCTGCTGATTCTTGGTACTATTTCTTGGGGCACTGGGGTTCTGTTCAGAAAGTCTTTACCTACACCTATGTTGTCAAGAGTTTTACGTATTTTATTTTCCAGAAAATTAAGTGTTTCTATTTGAACATTTAGATCTTTCATGCATTTTGATTTTAGCTTAGTACTCGGTGAGAGAGAGATGGCTCTAAACTCAACCTTCAGCATGCAGACAGCCAGTGTTTCCGGCACCATTTGTTAAAGAGGCTTTCTTCCCATGTATGCTTTTGGCCCTTTGTCAAAGATCAATAGTCAAGTGTGCCTAGGGATATTTCTGCATCCTCTATTCTGCTCCATCAATCCACATATCTGTGTTTGTGCCGGTACAATTCTGTCTTTGCCACTGCAGCTTTGTAGTATAACTTCAAATCTGGGATTGTGTTGCCTCCTGCTTTGTTCTTGTTACCGAGGACTGCCCTTGCTGTGCTGGTCTCTTCTGGTTCCATATGAATTTTAGGGTTGTTTTCTCTAATTCTGTGAGGAATACTGTTAGTATTTTGATTGGGATTGTGTTAAATTTGTAAATCAGTTTTGTAAGTGTGGCCACTTGGATATATTTGTTCTACATATCCATGGTATCTTTCCATTTTCTGACATCCTCTTTGATCTTCTCTTTCAGGGTACTACAGTTTTTGTTGTAGAAGTCTTCCTTTCCTCAGTTAGGTTAATTCCTGCTTTAATTGATGCTACTCTGAATGGCACTGTTTTCCTGACTTCTTTCTCAATGAGTTCATTATCAGTATACTGAACACTATTGATTTTTGTGTGTTGATGTTATATCTTGCTACACTGCTGAATGTGCTTATTAATTCTAAGAGTCTCTTGGTGGAATTTTTTAAGTTTTCTATATTAAGGATCAAGTTATCTGCAAATAATGATAATTTTACTTCTTTCTTTTTTTTTTTTGGTTTTTTTTTTTTTTTTTTTTTTTTTTTTTTTTTTTTTTTTTGTGTTTTTTTTTTTT